CCAGAAACAGATTTCAAAGAATTGATTGTAGAATTACTTAGAAGTAATCAGAAACAAATCCATATGTGACATCAATGAAAAATTTTCCCATGAAATTGAAATTTTAAAGAGAAATCAAAATGAAATATTAGAAATAGAGGATTCAATATATCAAATGAAAATGCAGTGGAAAGCCTTAACAATAGAATTGGTGAGGCAGAAGAGCTGGTGACAGCTCAGCACAGTTTACAACAAGTAGGAAGTAACTAGGCAAAAAAGGGGGTTGTAGGATGATGAGAGGTCCATTCAATGCAAAGACATCCAAGGATTTAGCGGTTGTATAGCTAGAAAGAAGGAGTTTTTTTGGGGAATATCAAGGAGATGGGGTTAGAGAAGTAGGCAGAAGTTATGTAATTATGAGTTTTGGGATGAAATAGGGACTTTCAACCACATATTACATGTGTTAGAGAGCCACTGGAGGATTTTGTGCAAGGAGTTGACTTTATAAAATTTGTGTTTTAGGAAGATTACTCTGGTAAGAGATGGAAATTTCATTTATGGAAGGCAAGATTTGTAGCAGTGAAATCTGTTAGGTGGTACCATTGAAACTTGGGGGGAGAAGTAGAAGAAAACTTAAATCAGGTCTCTGAGAACTAAGAGGGATGGATAGATTCAGCAATCACTCAAAAGGCAAACAACCTGAGATTTGTAGCCTGATTTGATGGGGGTATGTGACAGGAATGCAATCTCAAATATTTGGTCTGAATATTTACATCTTTAGTCAGATCATTCACTGTGAATACAGAAGTAAGATCTGGCTTTGGAAAAAAGTTAGAAATGACAGATTTTAATATGTGCATGTTGAGATTTTCACAGGTTATCCATGTGGAAATATCCATTAGACAACTCTGTTGAATGTTTTGAGCAAGAGATATATATTATGGAGTTGACCTACAAACTGTATCATAGACGTAGACACTAAACCTCCTGGCTGATTTATAACATGAAAGAACAGAGTATTAAGGTTAAAGCTCTTGGGAGGATACTTGGTGACAAGAGAAACGCATGAAGCAGACAGATAAGAAGGAAGAATGAGATAAGAGAAAAATCAGAGAAGAGCAATAAAATGGTAACAGAGAATTCAAAGGAGGTGGGAATGTCACCAGTGTCAAACATGGAAATGGTATACTAAGAACTACAGAGACTATAAAAATTTTATTTAACATGAGGATATAATCACTGACCTTTTGGCCTGAGCAGTTTCAGAAGAGCAGTGGCAAGGCTGAGTTTGTGGAAAATCCTCTCCAGGTTATAATGAAACAGCTGAATTAGGAACTAAAAATGAAAGAGTAGGATGAGAACAGACCAACAGTCTTGGGATCAAAGCTGGGTTGAGGATCAGAATGAGCAGAAAGTGATCCCAAACAGCAGCAGGCAAGGACAAACATGAAGCCCCTGGAGTTTCTATTGAAAGAGGGCTTCACCTGCCATAGCTGTAGTTAGGATGCCTTTAAAGGCATTATATAACTTGTGAAACCACGTTTTTTCTGTACAAGTCTTTCATTGTTTTTCTGATGACCAAAGACTGGAAACTTAAATAATCTCCTTGCAGAAAATAAGCTAGTCCATGGAGGTGTGTATCCCTACCCCCAGAATCTTTATCCTAGCTATGGTTATTACCCCAATTCACACTATGCTGATACAACCTGTCAACAAACATGCAAAGTGGAAAGTCCAGTCAATGGGGCAGAGGTCAGAAAGAAGTAGCATGGTTTTGCAGAATGAATTCCAAAATGGGGACGTGAGTCATGGATTTTTTTTTTTTTTTAGCTAATTTGGAGGATGAGTTTTGTAGAGAATAAGTGTTTGGGTTACGTGTCTGCCATACCAATTATGATGCTGCTTTGGATGCCACATCCAACATCGAAGTGGCTGGTTTTGAATTCAAGTTTTGCTCCAGTCTCCCACCAATGTGACGCCACATTTTTGAGACATATTTTCTACTGACCAACCACTTCTCATCCAGGGGGCAAACCGTTTACATGCAACTTTCCTTTTGATTCTAAGCAGTGGAGAACATTTCCAACACAATATTGTAAAGTGTTTGTGGGAAGAAAAGTTCTTCGTCATACTGCTCTGGTCTTGAAATCAGTAAGTGCTTTATAGTCTGGTAAGCATACTTCTACTGATGGATCCAGGGTCATTGGAGGTAGGCAAATGCCTCAACAATGTTTGTCTTTGTGGAAGAAAAACACGGTTTAAATGGGACATCCTGAGAAAGATTGAAGCTTTTGTTTTGTTTTCAGGATGGTTACACTAAGAATAATATGTACCATATTTTGTAGGCTTCATGTCTGGCAGGATAGCTAAGGAAGGTATTTTAGGAAATTCCAAGACAGTGAGGTAAGAGCAGGGAGACAAGGCTGGTGGACGTGTCTGTCCAGCTGTGCAGGCTATTCTCTGATCAATGACCTATTTATCCTTGTAAAAGAAGCTGTGGAGCAAAGGCAAGCAGGCTGACTTTATACTTGGCTCACACTTAAGTCTCCTTCTCACCTATTTGCTCCTACTGGTAGCTGGTCCTCAGCTCTGTTCTTGGTTATATCTCTGGATCCTCTGCCCCTTGGACTTATTGTATGTCCAGTGAAATGCTGGTTGCTGACTCTACCTCCCCTCCTTTGTTCATATGCTATAAAGTATATTCATCTAGACAGAAATACACTTTATTAAGAAAGACTTAGGGGGTCAGCACTGTGGCGTAGCGGGTAAAGCCACTGCCTGCAGTGACCGCATCCCTTATGGGCACCAGTTTGAGTCCTGGCTGATCCACTTCCGATCCATCTCTCTTCTATGGCCTGGGAAAGCAGTAGAAGATGGCCCAAGATCTTGGGCCCCTGCACCTGCAGGGGAGACCCGGAGGAAGCTCCTGGCTCCTGGCTTCGGATTGGCGGAGCTCCGGGCGTTGCAGCCAACTTGGGAGTGAACCAACGAATGGAAGACCTCTCTCTCTCTCTCTCTTTCTCTCTCTTTCTGCCTTTCCTTTTCTCTCTGTGTAACTCTTTCAGATAAATAAATGAATCTTTTTTTTTTTAAAGAAAGACTTAGGTA